CTTCAGTTTCATTGGTCTAATGTCATTGGTCCTTTGCAAAAAGATGCATACTCTTTTTTTAATGCTTAATGTGAGCATCAGGCTTTGATGTGTTTAAAGAGAACAGCATAATTTCTTCCTAGATTAATACAAATCTTGTAAGCACTACACTCACTAGATGCTATTTAGCAATGTTTGAAGCATCACTGGCTCTGATCAATGTGCAATTAGGACTTTTTCCACTTTGAAAATGTTTGCATTTAAACTTACCAGTAAGACAGAAGGTAAATACATTCCTATTTAACCAAATATAGTCTATATATGCCTGTTATATGTTGACGTATCATGTGTTTTCTTTTGAAGATGTATAACAGGTGAAACCCACTCTTATTTTTTTATCTAATATGCTCTCTCTTTGTCATGCAAAATAATACATTCAACGGACGGCAAATAAATGTATTGTATTTACATGTGCACTGGAACTATAAAAGGAACTGACACTGAGGATTTTGAAATATTAACTTCACTATACAAGTTGTACATCTGGGTTGTAGTTAGTCTATGTAGCCCATTTCATAAATTTGTTCTATGGCTAAAACAATTAATCACATCTATCAATAATTTAAATAATCGTCAACTGATTTAGTAATTGATTAATCAATAACTGGAGTATAGAGCCACTAAAATGTGCCTTTAGCCAATAGAGCGACCCACTTAGAGCAGGAATTATACCAAGATTATGAAAAAATATGTAAACATTTTGCATTTAGGACAAAAAAAAAAGTTTTAGTCTGTCAATATTCTCCATCCAGAACTCCTCCAGAGGAAACGTTTCTGTTTCACCTGGGGTCATTTCGTAAAAAAATCTACTTTAAGGAACCTTTGGGTGATCTGATTATTAATCAATTCATCAAAAAAATAATCAACAGATTAATCAATTTGCAGAATAATCATTAGTTTCAACCCATATTTTATGGTAACGTTCCAAACACATTTCTTCCATCATGCAGCAGTGAAGGGCAGCTGCTTCACCCTGAGGCTGCCCTGCATCATTATATCTGTTTCCTACAATCATATAATGTTTCTATTATACAAGTGCGTTTATAATAGTAAAGGATTATGTGTAACAACCTTTTATCATCATCCTATATTGCTTGCTGTTTAAATAGCTCCTTATGTCTATTTTCTTTTTTAGTGGCATCATCTATAAACACAACACTAAGAATCAGCCTAAGTTTATTCAAATATAAAATCACTTTTAATAATTATAAAAGACAATATAACACTATCTTATCTGTAATGTAATAGTATCCAAAATAAACAGCCAGATTGAAGCATTATTTACCAGACATTAATGTACTAATTTACTTATGGACCATGTGGAAATCTAGAAAAATAGAATCAGTGTAAATAGAGTTCCTCTGTTTGTCTTCATCCTATTTCTAGAAGTAGAATCAATTAAATAGAACTATTTTTATGTGGAAAACAAAAAAATAGAAGAACGTCAGCATCCTTCTCGTGTTATGTTCTACAAAATAAATTAACAGCTTTTATATACACCTGAACTGCCGTCAAAAAACAGGAAACAGTAATAGAAAAGAAATATTGGTGAAAGGGAATCAGAAATGTTGATAGATTACAGACTGCTCATTTCAACAGCAGCTTTCAGAACTCCTGTCTGACTCAGAATATTTTGTTTTATAGAAGAAATCCTAACTTTGGTTACTTTCATTTCTCAAGTTCCAAAAATCCAAACTATCTCCTGCTTCTTCACAGAACTGCAGTCAGAAGCTTTCGCCTGTTTTAGCCTAGAATAAGAGTGGGTTTCACCTGTTTACCTCTGTACAGTTATACATCTTCAAAAGAAAACACATGCTACGTCAACATATAACAGGCATATTTAGACTATATTTGGTTAAATAGGAATGTATTTACCTTCTGTCTTACTGGTAAGTTTAAATGCAAACATTTTCAAAGTGGAAAAAGTCCTAATTGCACATTGATCAGAGCCAGTGATGCTTTAAACATTGCTAAACAGCATCTAGTGAGTGTAGTGCTTATAAGATTTGTATTAATCTAGGAAGAAATTATGCTGTTCTCTTTAAACACATCAAAGCCTGATGCTCACATTAAGCATTAAAAAAAAGAGTATGCATCTTTTTGCAAAGGACCAATGACATTAGACCAATGAAACTGAAGACCAATAGTGTCCCTGCCAAAGCTGAAATCAAACCTATGCCTTTGATATTCTCTCTTGCCTTTAACCAAGAATATAATCCATATATGTAGCCCACTTCTCTGTTGTTTTTGATCCATCGCCATTCATTCTGTCATGTAACAACTTTTTACATTGTGCTAATAAAATGACATTAAAGGGGCCACTTATCCTCCAGAAAATGTGTCTGTCTGACTTGTTTTCTGTATGTTTCCTGCATATCGCTAACCTTTTCCCAAGCTCATAATGCTTTCTGCAGCCACGGAACAACTGCAGTTAAAATTAAATGTAACATCTAAATAACGTAGTACCTGTTTTCTGGATACACCCCCAATGGAAGGTGCTGCACCCATACCTTGTCTCCTACTCCACAATGAAAATGTAATTAGACTCTTGCACATTTGGATCTTGTTCTAGTACACATAAGTAAAGGTACTGACTAGTGGTCAAAGGTAGTGGGAAATAGATAATAGTTCATAATAAATAAAAAAGATGAAAGAATCCAGTATCCAGTTCTCTCTTGAAAAAGAGACACACCTTGCCTATATTGTTCCACAGCTTTGGTGCAAACACCTGTTTGCTGCTCTGCCAGTAGCCTACTCGTTATATGGCGCCATCTGCAGACTGAAAGCATTGTAGACTGAAAGAACATTTATGTGACGTGGTTAATATATATATATATATACACTATATTGCCAAAAGTATTTGCTCACCTGCCTTGACTCACATATGAGCTTAAGTGACATCCCGTTCCTAATCCATAGGGTTCAATATGACGTCGGTCCACCCTTTGCAGCTAGAACAGCTTCAACTCTTCTGGGAAGGCTGTCCACAAGGTTTAGGAGTGTGTTTATGGGAATTTTTGACCATTCTTCCAGAAGCGCATTTGTGAGGTCGCACACTGATGTTGGACGAGAAGGCCTGGCTCTCAGTCTCCGCTCTAATTCATCCCAAAGGTGTTCTATCGGGTTGAGGTCAGGACTCTGTGCAGGCCAGTCAAGTTCATCCACACCAGACTCTGTCATCCATGTCTTTATGGACCTTGCTTTGTGCACTGGTGCACAGTCATGTTGGAAGAGGAAGGGGCCAGCTCCAAACTGTTCCCACAAAGTTGGGAGCATGGAATTGTCCAAAATGTCTTGGTATGCTGAAGCATTCAGAGTTCCTTTCACTGGAACTAAGGGGCCAAGCCCAGCTCCTGAAAAACAACCCCACACCATAATCCCCCCTCCACCAAACTTTACACTTGGCACAATGCAGTCAGACAAGTACCGTTCTCCTGGCAACCGCCAAACCCAGACCCGTCCATCAGATTGCCAGATGGAGAAGCGCGATTCGTCACTCCAGAGAACGCGTCTCCACTGCTCTAGAGTCCAGTGGCGGCGTGCTTTACACCACCGCATCCGACGCTTTGCATTGCACTTGGTGATGTATGGCTTGGATGCAGCTGCTCGCCCATGGAAACCCATTCCATGAAGCTCTCTGCGCACTGTTCTTGAGCTACATAAAGTTTGGAGGTCTGTAGTGATTGACTCTGCAGAAAGTTGGCGACCTCTTATATATATATATATATATATATATATATATATATATATATATATATATATATATATATATATATATATATATATATGTATGTATATGTATGAGACAGAGAACATGAGCTATGGGGATCATCAAACCTCCACTGGCTCAACTAAGCAAGTTTTTTCTCATTGCACTAATAACACTTTTAATAAGAAATCTTCCTGTTAATTTAATTTTAACAGCAGTTGCTCCATGGCTGTAGAAAGCATTATGGAAAAAGGTTGGTGATATGCAGGAAAATATTCAGAAAACAAGTCAGACCGACACATTTTCTGGAAGACAAGTGTCCCCTTTATTGTCATTTTATTAGTACAATATAAAAGGTTTTTACATGACAGAATGCATGGCGATGGATCAAAAACAGTGAAGTAGGCTACATTTATGATTATATTCTCAGAAAAAAAAAAATAAATAAATGGGCTTGGTTGGAGACAAGACAGAATATAAAGGGAAAAGTCGGACTCGAACCTGCCACGAAGCAAAACGTTTGCATTGAAGGAGGTCACTTAAGCCACCACGCCACCTCTCGGTGGTGATAGTTGGTGAAACATTCCTACTAATACCTGTAAATACAAAACATTAGTTGGCGATGTATGTTGATGCAAAACGTTTTTACATGAAAATAGGCATGGAATGGATTCAAAATAACAGCAAAGTGTATGTAGTGGATTTATTCCTTTGTGAAACGGCAATGCAGTGAATTCTGGCAATGCTGCAACATTGAGCTCTGTGCAGTTTTCCACAAAGCAGATCTGTGATGAACTTTCTTGGTCTGGCTGCCTTGATCAGCCATTGGATGCAACCAGTTCAAATGCATTGGCTGTAGGAAAAGAAGGAAGAACATCATTATCATATTAGTAAAACGCGTGTTAAATACGCGCGTTGTGACCGACACAACGCGCGTATTTAACGCGCGTTCTGACCGACACAACGCGCGTATTCAACGCGCGTCTTGCGGTTCTATCATGACGCGCGTAAAAGGCGGCGCTATGGCAAGCCACAACGCGCGTATTTAACGCGCGTTCTGACCGACACAACGCGCGTTGAATACGCGCGTCTTGCGGTACTATCATGACGCGCGTAAAAGGCGGCGCTTGTTGGTAAAAGACGGCGTAAAAAGCGGCGTAATCTCGGGAGAACGCGCGTTTTTTGCGGGTTAACTTCATTCTTAACGCGAGAATTCAATGCGAAATATGACCTTCTTGGCTTGCCATAGAAAGCGCCTCAACTCCACGTCGCTTTTAATCTACGCGCAGGAATGGCAGGAGGTCTGCGGAGAAAAAGTCCCAGTGCTCCGTCCCCGCTGTGGGGAAAACTTCACACACTTTGGCAGGACAAGCATTTGGTCCTGTTTAAGACAGAGCATACGTTATTGGTTGTTGCAGTGTTGTGGATCCTGGAAATTGGAATAAACATCTGGGTGATACAGAAAGTAGCATGTAAGTAGCCGCGCTGCTAGTTAGCATGCTGCAGTGTGATTCACTGTTATTGAAGGCGCCTGGTGGCTAGCATTAGCTCAGCATTAGCTTAGCATAGCTACCCTACCACCTGTCACTGTGTTACACTCACTTTGGTCATAGGAGGAGCTGTTTTAAATAAGGAAATATTTAATATCTTTAATATCTTTGTTTTCGCGTATAACAATTCAACACGGAATATGCTGTTTTTGCTATATAAATAATACACATACGAATGTTTATTTACGAATAAAGTGAATAGATGGATACAGTTTTTTTTTGTGTGTTTTATTGTTATTTTTATATGGATTCTTTTTAGTGTCTGAAATAAAGCTAGATTAAATAAAACCGTTCAATTACAAAAGTAAAAAAAAAAATGTACTAAATAGAATAATGCATTTGGTTAAACAAGAGTGGGTGTTTAACCATACATGAAAAATATATATGTTAATATGTTTTGTAAAAAAAAAAAAAAAAAAAAACTACACAAAATAACAATTTTTTTGTATTTGATGTAACATTATCGAAAGCCTTAGTACTTTAAAATAAGATCATAAACTATGGTCTATATGTATTGTAAATCAAAAGGTTGTTTGGTACTTTTTGCTACACATCTGTTTTATTTAATTCTAACCCTTGCCCAGATGAGTAAAGTAGCGAGGTGATTCCCAAAGGAGAATAGAATAGAAATTCCTTTATTGTCCAACAATGGGGAAATTCTGGTGTTTACACTGTACTGGCCTCTTTGTGTTGCTGTAAACTTTACAGCTGTAAACTTTCCAGCAACACAAAGATATATAAAAAAAAAATTGTCACAAACATGGACCTTAGAAAATGTATAAGAAAAACATAATAGCGAAGAGTTAATAGATGAACAATAAAATACTGTATTATAAAGTGTTTTAACGATATAAAATTGTGCACCTGGAAATGGTTGCAACATCAGCGATGTGCAAAATGAGATCAGCATGTTATTTAATTAACTAACTGAGGTAGAAACTACAAAATCAGCATTAATGTAACAAGTTATTGAAGCTGTTGGGAACAGTGGTGGTTATAAAGTCTTCCAGCTGCTGGGAGGAAGGATCTGTGATAACGCTCCATGGTGCATTTAGGGTGCAGCAGTCTGTCACTGAAGGAGCTCTGGTCATATCATCACAATATGGTTGCAATTATATTATTTTTATAATATTTATGCATCTGAAGGAATAGATGTTACTTTTGTCTTTTATAAATGCCATTAGATAATTATTTAAATCTAGGTTATAAATTAACCTGAAAGCATAAAACCAAGGCTGACCATATCAGTCAAACATGTAAATACAATTGTTTAGTGATTAGTGATATTAATTATGATTACTTCACGTATTCCTGACTTTACTCTTAATTTTACTTCACCACAAAATTCTCTCTGTCCTAAAAAAGATTTATTGTCTATGAGCAGTCCTTTATTTTGTAATTTTTAGACCCCGTAGCATTGCAATAGTTGTCGGATATAGTGTGCAGATGTATTCGAGTGGCTCATACCAATTTGAGGCTTGGAAATAGATCATACCTGTCAAATTAAAATTTGTGTTTTTACCCAGTAATATCCTTTATAAAACAATTAATTGCTGACTTTTCAGTATTCAAAGTACAATGCCATTTTTAAAGAAATGTTCTAATAAAGATACTAATAATTGTAAATTAATATTGATGTCATGTTGTGCAGACACAGAGATCGACTGGAAGGCTTACATGGATGAGGTAGAAGGAGTCATCAATGGTACCTACGACTACACCCTGCTTAAAGGAGACACTGGCCCCTTGGTGTAAGATTTGAAAAACTTAATTTTTCCAATGTAGGCCTCTCTGTTTTTTAATTCTGAAAGTCTTGATAAATTGGTCCCTCTGTTATTGTAGGTACCCTGCTGGATTCGTCTACATCTTCACGGCCCTATACTATATCACCAGCCACGGCGTGAACATCCGTCTGGGCCAGTACATTTTTGCGGTTTTCTATCTGGTTACGCTGTTGCTTGTCTTCAGAATATACAATCGCACCAAAAAGGTCCGTCGCTTTTCTGGCTATTGCATTTGCTACACCCTAAAAAATCAAGTTGTTATGTAGAATAGAACACTCAAGCTGTTATACTGTAAATGTATAAATTTTTTAATCTCTGTACCCATTTTTTTCCCCAGGTTCCCCCTTATGTGTTCTTCTTTGTGTGCTGTGCCTCTTATCGGATCCATTCCATCTTTGTGCTGCGTCTCTTTAACGATCCGGTAGCCATGATGCTGCTGTTTGCAGCCATCAATCTCTTTATGGATGGGTACTGGACCCTGGGCTGTGGGGTTTACAGGCAAGTCTTCCTTAAAGCAGCAGCAGACTTCACCATAAATATACATTCAGATTCATCATCATTTTCCTTCAATAAGTGTGGTGATGAAATTGCAGTTTAATATTTCCCTCTTTCTGACAGTTTAGCAGTGTCGGTGAAAATGAACGTCCTTCTTTTTGCCCCTGGATTACTTTTCCTTCTCTTGTGGGAATTTGGCTTCATCAGAACAATCCCTAAACTTTCTCTATGTGCAGCCATACAGGTAAAGACTCCTTTCTAACATGATAACCTTGAACAAAGACTTTCACCAATAATTATTCCAATATTTTTCTTTGATTACTGTAGCTTCTCCTGGGCTTGCCGTTCCTTCTGAACAACCCTGTGGGTTATATGAGCCGGGCCTTTGACCTGGGCCGTCAGTTCATGTTCAAGTGGACGGTGAACTGGCGCTTCCTGCCGGAGTGGCTTTTCTTGAATCGCTACTTCCACCTGCTCCTGCTGGCTGCTCACCTTCTCACCCTGCTGCTCTTTGCTTTCCGCCGTTGGAAGAGGTAAGCCGAATACTATGCTTAGATTCTAGAGACATTAATCTAAAAGAGATTATATGATTTTGTTGATTTTTTATTTTTTTATTTTTGAGAATTTGCAGCCCACTGCCAACCTCTTGTACAAACTTCCCATTTGTACAAGTTATACTTTATGACCCATAATTAACACAAAACATTTGAATTCAAATGAACAATATTTGAAACTGCCATCTACATGTTTTATTTTCCATAAGCTCAGCTGGTGTTGACAACTAAAAAGAGTATTTTCTGTGTCGGATGAATTAAAACTTCCAAAAGCATCTCCAAATAAAGAATGATTCATAAAAAGAGGAGATAAAAGTTAACCTTAGGTCAACTTGAAGCTTTGTCCAATCAACAACAGGTGGTTCAGTATCATCCTCTGCTAAAAAAGTATTTTCCTCCTGATTTTATATGATAAATAACAGCTTATATTCGTTTTTTCTTGCATCAACTGATGTGTGCTTATTGGGAATGGGTCTGACCGATGTCAATACAACCAGTATCGGCATCGAAAAAACCTGTATTGGTCCATCTTTGACAGCTATGTTATAAAAAGCATGATGCACGTTTCCTTTCCTTTGACGAAATATTGAAATGCTACAACGAAAACCAACATTTGAGTTGCTCTTCTCAGTAAATGTGTTTACACAGAGCAGTTTTGTCAGCGCGACTTTGGTAATGGGTCGTTGACTTATCAGATAATAATCAGGAGTCAAAGAAATCAAACTGAAAACTACCTGGTTTCAGTCACCAGCTGATTTCTCTGTGAATCTCCATTTGCTGTCATATTGCCTCAAAGTAAGGAGCAAAGACACAGCAGGGGGAACTATAAGTGGATAGGAGGAGGAGATCTGTGTGGAACTGAGACGTTAATGCATATAGCGTAGCTCTAGTTTTGAGTTGTACTGTTGTTGTAATTTGAATTATGTTGCCTACTAGTCTGTATTTTGATCTTCGAGTATAATGAAGCCCTACTAAATTCCCTTTACTGTGCTTTATTTGTAACCTGTAATGCAATCCATAAACTGTAAGTCAGCAGTATTATAGTATTTAGTCCACCTTAAATGACTTTATTCTATTTTATAGTGTTTGTCTGTGAACATTAATTTTTGTATTTTCTGTTTCTCGCTTACTAGACCAGGAGAAAGCATTTTTGAGCTTCTTAAGGAACCGGGCAAGAGGAAAACCCCTCCTCAGAACATCACTGCAGATCATATCCTTTCAGTTATAGCATGCATCCTTGGATCTGTTTATGCAACTTAAATGGATTTAACTTTCATTTTTAATTCTAGTGGAAAATACCAACAATTGTGGGTTTGTTTTCTGAAAAATATGCCAGCTTCCCATCCTCCGAGTCTGTGATAATTATATTTTTTATTAGTCCAGGTCTATAGAAACTGAATCTGGCTCCAAGGAGAGTTTTTGTAGTTTTTAAGTTATGAATAATATTTCTATGTTACACCATCACAGAGGAGAGGTTCTGGTTTCTATTTCCTTCAGTTTACTGTACCACCACTAGATGTCAGCACATCCTATGATGTTCTTTAAAAACATTTATAAAAAAAAAAAATATTTATTAGTACAGATGGATCCCAAACATTCATTTCTTGAAAGCTGGTGATAAGGATTTAAACGACCAGCTGGTTTTATTCCACTTTCAGGCTTCTAAGGGGAGATGTTGTTTTCTCTGTTTTTTTTCCAGTCAACCAACAGAAATACCTTCAGATTGTTTTCTTTTTCTAGAAAAACAATCCAGGAAATAATGAATGGTGTTGGAAACCTATTTGTGCATTACCTGCATTTTCTTGCTTCATTGCAAGAATTAAATTGTGCTTTATTTTGCTAAAAGCTAAATACTCAGGATTGTTGACTTATTCTTTTATCTCTAAATCTTAAATCTTTTCAAGACCACTCAGCAATACTTTTAGCTGTCCTCACCTATCATTTTTGCAGCTCTTCACTCAGAGGGTATCAATCAAGATTTGAATTTTAAAAACTATTTTCTATTTTTTTTGTACTTAAAATCACCTGAAAGCAACTAATATTGGTCATGAAATAATATCCTTTGTATTGTTAATCCTTAACGGCGACCTACAGCTAGTGCTGATACTCTTTACGTCTAACTTCATCGGCATGTGCTTCAGCCGCTCGTTGCACTACCAGTTTTACGTGTGGTATTTCCATACGCTTCCTTACCTGCTTTGGAGTGGAGGCGTTAAGAAGCTGGCCCATCTACTCAGGTAAGATGATGTCTTTAAAAAAAAAAAAAAGGCCAGATTTGTGCCACGTGTACATGGGGGGAAAAACAAGCTGTTTCTGATGTGCAGAGTACTCATCCTGGGCCTGATTGAGCTTTCGTGGAATACCTACCCCTCCACTAGCAGCAGCTCTGCAGCCCTTCATGTCTGTCACTTCATCATCCTCCTATGTCTGTGGCTGGCGCCACCCCTGACCTTGTCCCAGACGGAAAACCAAGAACACTCAAAGATCAAGGACAAGAGACGCTGAGCCTGAGGGAAAAGGACTTTTGATCGGATGCTCCTCCCTTTGATCGGCATGCATCCATGTCGAGGGAAGTGAATGTGAAAGACAATTTTTTTAGGAACCATTTTAAGCTTCTCATCTTTGTTCCTGTTTAAGTCATTCAAGCTGCTGATGCACACAGACGTGCTCACTGCTGTGGCTTGCAGTCAGAAAATTCTCAGGTGTAGTTTTCTTGTTACATAATTGGAAGTTTCAAAGTGCCAAAGAGCTGTGTGCATATCATCGCTGTTTAGAAATGATCTGCAACATGAAAAAAAAATGGATTCTCTAAAAACAACTCTTTATTTATTGGCGTGCAAATAAAGAATGCGATGGACTAAAGACCCCAATCATATTGTTGTATATCATCTTGAGTCTGATATTACTTAAGTCCTGCATTATCTCTTTTCTTTTTTGTATTTTAGGCAATACTGAAAATAAACTGTAAACAGTAATGGTCACCAGTCTGAATTTGCATTTAACACATCTGCATTATTTTGGGCACAAAAACCATTAGTCACTGACACGGGGCAATATGGCTTAAAAATCACAATTTTCCATTTTTTTCCCCTAATCCAATGAATCATTTTTTTTTTTTTTTTATCCCTCAAGTTTCATTGTCATAAATTAACAAATTACATACATTACTTTAAAGACTAACTTTTGTTTTAATCATGCCCTCTAGTTGGTGACTTTTAGTTTAAAGGGCAATGAAATCAAGCTATGAAAAATGCTAGTTTGCAGCTACTGGTATTAACAGTGAGCTAGGTTATTAGTAATGGGTGTAAATCTAGGAACAGGAAGTGATGTCACTAGGAGCTATAAAAACCTATGGCGCGCATTGGTGGGGGGGAGAGATAAAATAAGTTATCTTTACAAGGAATAATCATTTAAACACCTAGCCCTATTGGTAGTGTTTGATAGTTATTGCAATAGCTTTATTGAAGAAGTCAACTTGATTATGATTAAATATGCAAATTCTGCACATTGCAAATTAAAGACCCACCTGGAGTTCTCCTGGGCTGTTTAGTCTGTTGTATCTTATGGGTTTTTATGTTTTAGGCTGGAATCATGATGAGAATTCCAGGACAAAATGGCTTTTCCCTTTGAACAAAGTCGGCTTCCCTCACGGCTTATCTCTTCCAAATTCTCAGCATTTAGGTCTTTAAAGGTATGTCCTTTTTCTTGAGACGGAAGAGTACAGCTGGATCTTTCCCAGAGCTGCTGGCTCTCCTTCGCTGTGCCGTGTGTTTGGTTGTTGGTGGTTTGTCCAACATTGGACTCTGAATAGTCCTCGCTGCACTGGGCCGCATTAACAATGCAACTCAGCTTTGGTTTAGATGCTTTGGGATGAACCAGTTTTTATTTGCATGCGTTGTTGAGTTTTAAAATGCATTGGTATGTTACAGTGTGTTAAGGAAAATCCTCCTGAGGTTACCAGAAACTCCTGACATATGGGGTTACAATGTAAATATAAAGCCAATATAAGCAAAATAAAATCATATTGGCATATAAAGCTGTAATATTTGTTTTATAAGAAGTGTAAAACAACCTTTTATATTTTATTTTCACAGTATTACAACTTTTTTTCTTGTGTACTTGACTTAATTACGCTAAGGTTACGACTTCAATCTGGTACATCTATCATTCTGAATTCAGACTCCTAACTGGAAGAACATACCTCTTAGCATGGTCCTAATTTTACTCTGTAAATTATATCTTGGGTCAAATTTCCTTTCAAAGGAGGGGACGATCATTTAGCTCCTTCCCTTCATGTCGGTTTCATTGCCAACCAGAGGACACATGGATCAGGTTCAATTACATTTAGGTTTTTTTCCCTAGTCCATATTTCAAATGGGTAAAAAAAATAATAAAAATGATTGGAGAAGAAAATGAACGGAATTGGAAAAAATTCAATATACTGATTGACCACAGAGTCCTAATACAAGTAAAGGTGCTTGGTGAAAGTAGGCTATGATAAGCGAGTGCACATCAGTATGAAGCTGTGACAGAGACTAACGGTCCACAGAAAGTTCAGTTTTAGTCTTGTTTTTTTTTTTTCATCTGCTGACAAATAAATGGCTGCAGCTTAAAAAGGTTAATTTTATGAAGTTTTATAATTTTCTGTTTCTCTGACCTGTGCTTTAAATGGACAAAACATGGCAGATTAAAATAAATCAAACACGGGTTAAATGTTTCATTCCTTTTTATTCATTTCGACATAGTATAACAAATACATGGCTTTCATCATGTTACTTTTCTTATTTTATTGATTATTGCAAAAGCTAAAATTTCACCTGTTTAAGAACTAACAAAGCCATACATTCATCAGTTGATTTTCTTTTTTTTTTATTTGGCATTGTAGACACAACAAAGACTTATGGTCTGTTCTAAACTACAAAAAGCTTATTCAGATGGTCAAGGCATTCCTGTGTTTCCATAAAGCAAAGTTGGAATAAAAGGTCACTTTGATTAAACTATTATGGATTTGGCACTGGCTAAAATATCTGCTAATAATGTTTAAGCAGCTGTGAAAAAATTAGGACGCCCAAAAACAGCCTATGCCTTTCTCTGACAGACTTGGATATATTAGATATATATATATATATCTTATATAAAATAAAAAATGGTTTCATGTACTGTAAACTGACAACTGAAAGAAACATTCAAAATGTGTCAATGTAAAAAAAAAAAAAGATTTCTAGAGTGATAAGTGCATGACTGAAAAAAATGCTTCGTAAAGGAGGTTTCCTTTGTTTATATTTATCATTTCATCTGGTTTGCCCCTGATTGTGGAAGTAAGAGTGAAAACCAAGGCAGGAGTTATCTTCCTTTTCCCTTCTGACTCCACCTGGTCTCTGTCTATTCCACTCCACTTATTTTCAACTGTTTTGATAGCAGTTTTCTTTTTCACCCCTGTAGAACTCTAACTGTACCTTCTCTGAGCAGGGTTAAAAAAAGCCGGTATTGGTACCGAAAAAGAAATTTAAAGCCAGATCAAGTGGAGCCTGGGAAAAGGCGTCATAAAGGAGTTGTCCCTAATAGTAGCCTATGAATCTGTTCTTTAATTCTTTAATTCAATGGCTTGAAATTATAATTTCGACTTGAATTAAAACTGTTTAGAGATGGGGAACATTCAAAACATTCCACCCACTTTCCCAGGTCTTGCTGTCCAAGTAAGTAAAGATTTTTCCAAAAATCATCAGTCTATAAAATATCTAGAAGCCTCAATGGGACTTACAGTACAACAAGCTTCTGCTTTAAAACTAATTAACATCATGGGAGCTCTTCAAACAGGTCTCCTTTTGCTCTCCAAGAAAAAACACAGGACTTGGAACAGGAGTTCATTTTCTTTGAGCAGATTATTTTAAACTATTTGCATGTCAGAACAGATGACATTATTTGGCATAATTTTGTGGGAACAGAACCTTACACCTACTGTAAAGCACAGAGGTGGAAGTGTCATGATTTAAGGGCGCTTTGCTCAAGCAGGAACCAGCCGCTCACATTTGATTTTTGTCAATGGATGTTTGAAGGAAATGTAAGATGCCCTCTTAAAACGCCTAAAGTTGCAGCAAAACTGGTCCTTGCAGCATCAAAGCCAAGCAGTATATCAAACAAGGATGTGCTGATGTAAGAAACGAGAAAGGCCAGTGCGTACTCAAAACCCAATGTTTTGTTTACCGGTAAGTTTTTTTTTTTAGATATGAAAAAAATAAAAAATTACAGTTTCTTAATACCAACAAAAATACTTTTTAATGAGACATAATATATATGGAGGGTCCTAATTTTTCCACATTACAATAAATCGTTTTTTTTTTTTTTTTGCTGCTTTGAGCCATTTCTCTCACATGTTATTAGGGTTATAACACAGCATGTTGAGTTTGATGTTTTCATCCCAGTGGCGCAGCAGCAGAAACAGCTGTCTGGCTGCTCCTCTCAACCCTGCAAGGTCCACTCCTTCCGGCAGACTCTGACCACGCAGCCAGAAATCTGCTTTGGCCGCCACCAGCTCCCATTCCATGAAGTAGCCAGCACACCGGTGCTCCAGCCACGCCAGAGCCACCGCGGTTGCCCAGGTCGAGCCTTCTAAATCCTCTTGAGCCAACTGGCTGCTGCCCTGGAGGTCTGCCGGCTCTACTGAGGACCCCTCACATATGTCTGTCTCTGAACCACGGCCACTGTCTGCTTGTCCGAGGCTTTGACTTTGAGATCGGCCAATTGACAGCTCTAAGGAGCCCTCCTCAGAACTTGGGAGATCAGGGGGCGAGGTGACGGGGTCTCGGTCCGACAAGTGTCTTCTCAAAAGCCTTGACTCCAAAATTAAGGGGTTGTCGACTGGAGTGTGGTGGAAGGGAGGAGCAGCCGATTTAGCCAGAGAGCACGAGGAAGGAGAAAAGGTGACATGGTGAATGGTGGGAGCACCTGGCATCTTGGCGGAGGTGGATAAAGAGGGAGCGCTGGGAGAAGTGCAGCGGAATGCTGGGCTCAGGCTTCGTCGGTGAAGGCTGTAAGGTGACGCTCTTTTAAGGCGGTCAAGAGGAATTTGTACACATTCTGAGTAGATCTCCGTAAGTAGAAAAGCTCCAGATGCAAGCTGCAGATGCACCTATGGAAGGACCATAAATCAGTGTTCAGACCAATACAAAATTATTTGTTTGTCAGGATATATATGTGCTACTTTTGCAAAAGTCCCTGCATTAAAAAAAAAGAAAAATCCCATTATTGTCCCACAATAGGCAAATTCACTCTCTGCATTTTGACTCATCCCCTTGGGGAGCAGTGGACTGCCATTGTGTGGCACCCAGGGAGCAGTCTGGGGTTAAGGGTTTTATAATAAAAGACCAACTAAATAAACTAGATGTTTTAGAAATTGGCTTCATTGGCAATAATATATGTATAAATATTAAAGGATAATGCTATTCAAGCACTATCAGAAAAAAATATATTCTGTTACAAGAAAATACCAACCAAAAAAACAGCAAGACTGTACGTCCAGTATTTACATTGATGTCAAATTAATTTGGATTAGTATCACCCTTAAATAAACCTTTATTGGTTGATCTCTGATTCAGAATTTTTTGAATTACTAAACAAATTAACATGTAACATATATTTTAATATAAAAAGAACCAGTATATACGTATATAAGCTAAAACAATTAGTGATATAAGTGAAAATGAAGATAAAATTGGAGCTTGGAGTGATGCAGGTTCACCTCACCAGGGGTTGGTAGTCTGGAGTTTCGCTCTCAGGTTGTTTGTCGGCCTCTGCTGATAAACAGTGAGACTTAAGGGGAACTTGCTTTCCTGAAGAAATAGAGGACCTGAGTCTACCCAGCTGGAACCTGGGAATATAAAAAAATATTACTTTAAAAACAACACAAGAAGAAAGAAAGAGAAGTTTAGATATACTACAATGTTGCTCTGATTAGCACTTCAGTCCTTTAGGCTCCTCATTT